GTAGCTTTGCACCTTTCCTGGAACTCACTTGGTAGACCAGGCTGGCCTCGAACTCACAGAGATCCACCTGGCTCTGCCTCCCAAGTGCTGGGATTAAAGGCGTGAGCCACCACCGCCCGGCATCAACTTCAGTTTTTAAGAACTGCTCGGAGCTATTGCAGGTGACCTAGTATTTTACCTTAGAGATAATGTTAGGATTTCTTGAGAATTAGCTTTATTTTATGTTTGGCACAGGTTCTACTACTAAGTAAAATGATAATAAGGATGATCAAGATATGAGAGTTCTAAAAGGAATTTTGTGGAGTTCATAAATTCACCAGAACGAGGACAAAAGCACTGAACACACTCGCATACTTATTTCCTGTGTATACTTTTCATCACGTTCATAAGCACAGTGATGTCAAGTGGCTGTTCTCCAACTTGAGTCATATGAAGAGTCTGTGGTGATTTTCAAAATGAAAGCAAACCATTCACCCCACTGGCTAAGTCCTTCCCTTCTCGGGGGATCTGACAACCTTGCAGTAGACTGGTAATCCACAGCAGGTATGAGAGGGAGTTCTTCTTTTCAGGTAAATAAAAACAGTGGAGACATATAACAGTAGTGAGATTACCTTATCATTGTATAAACATTGTATTTGAATTGTGTGTTCTCCCTGAGAAACAAAGTGGTACCTATAGTTGTCTTTGCTATGATAACACCTCTTTGTATCTGAAGAAAAAATAATATTCTGCCCACTAAAACTGAGCCTTTGACGAGTTGAGCTAAGATTTTTAAAAAATTATTATTTTTTAACCAAACTCACGTCAGTAAGATGTGGAATTTAAAGAACATGCCCTCAACTATGTTCTCTCAGCATTAATCAGCTTCCCGTGAACATGTTTAACAAGCTCAGCTTGCTTTCAAGAAAGAGAGGACAATGATTATGTAGTCTTTGTCCCTAGTGACACAGTGTTCTGAAAGTCCATCTTTGAGTGAATGTTTATGATCTTCCCATTTATGACTCACGTGAGTCACAGCACTGTTTTCTGTACAGAAAAACACAGAAGCTTGGGGCCGGAGTGCTCTGCACGTTTATCTAAGCCATCTGCTGTTATTGAACCGAAAT